GCGCGTATCATTGCATCGGCCGTGTTTTCGGGCAACCGTGACCGTGACTGACAATAACTATAGCATTATAATTGAATATGTCACTTATTTTTTACAATTTACTTCTTATTCTTTTTCTGAATAATCACAGTTTACCTCTCATCACTGGTTACCTCTTGCATATTATGAGACTTGGCACTGATTCAAAAATAGACGCGATTTTCAAATCAATTTGAATCAAAATTGAGTTGTTGACTCACTCAATCAAAGTAGACATAATAGTTGTAGATCAAATGTTGTTTAATCTGAAAGGACAATAAATTGAAATTATGTTTAAGGTCTCTGTTCGTGTAATATTGCAATGCATTTATTTAAGAGGGAGCCATTCCTCTAAAGTCCCGGAGAACATGATTCAAGAATTTGAATTCAAGAAACAATAGAACAGTTTTGGGATAAAAACACGATAAGTTCGATTTTGTTTCCTGAAATTTCTCTTGTTTGAATTTCAAAATTAAACTAATATTCTAGCCTACAATTTTTAGACGTCTTGATCGATAACAATAACCCCAATTTCTCTCTAATCAGAGTTTACCGCAAGAAAACTTTCACTGGGCTATTTACTAATTATTTTAGCTTTACCTCGTACTCTTACAAAGTGGGCCTCATAAAAACTCTCGTTGATAGGGCCTATAAGATTAATAAAACCTCGTTAGGGTTTCACGAGGACATCACTAAGCTCATGGATATTCTTAAAAGGAATCTTTTCCCTGCTCATTTACTGAATTGAAAAGGTTATAAATCATTACATCTCTGGGACCCAAAGCAATCATTGTCCCCGGGGTTCCCTTCTCACCACCTCCGCTACGTTTTACTTTAATTAAGCTACCCTACATAGGCCATTTTTCTACTTTTACTCAAAAAAAGATTTGCCATTCCATCAAGCGCTATTGCAATGATGTAGATATTATGCAAGTATTTTCTTCTTTCAAGATCGGTAACATGTTTGGTGTGAAAGACCCCATCCCTGGCGGGCTCCGTTCACGTGTGGTTTACAAGTATGCATTGTCAGGCAGTAATGCCTCTTACGTCGGCGAAACGGTCCGGCATTTTTCGACGCGTGTAAAAGAGCATTTAGCCAGCGATAGGGTCTCTCAAATTTTCAGACATCTGCAAAATTCTGAACATTGTCGCTCCTGGTGTTCAGCAGATTGTTTCCATGTTTTGGATCACGCCTCTACCAGTTTTCAACTTAAACACGGAGCGAGCCTATATATATCGAGGCTAAGGTGTTCAGCCTGCCAATCACAAATCCCAACGGACGACCAATGCTACCAGTTGATTGGCTTATTCACTCAAGCCTAATTTTAACGCGTTGCCACAAACTTCTGAAGAGCGACGGGTGTAATTTACTGTTTTATTTTAGAAGTAAGGGAGTGGTACGTCATTATCTATTGGGGGAGGTAGGGCCGCTAAATTTTGGGGGAGAGTTGCGATTTTTTTGGGGGGGGGGAATTTTTCTGGGCTCGCGTTTTGCGTTTTGGTACTCGGACTGTATTTGTGTTTTTGGTAGAATTTGAAAGCTGTGGAAGCTAATTTTGAGGAGGAATTACCTTTTTTTGTGGCAAACTTAGAAATAAAAGTTTTACCTTTCATCACCAGCATCGTTTGATTGCGGCTTTAAAAAGGTCCACACCCAGAGCAATTATTCTGAAAAGTAAATAAATTCTGGTATGGTACAATGCCATTACCAAAGGCAGGAAATACGAGAAAAAATCAGGCATTCAATTTGTCGCAAAACTTTGTTGCTATCTGGACTCATAGTGCTACAGTTACTAATCCTATCTGCACTTTTACAAAACTCAATCAGTCTTAAACAGTAACAGTAACAGTAACAACCGTGGAGGACTACACTATTGATCTCTAGAGGAAATGCCTAGTGAAGGTAGACAGGTGGATGATTATCAGCCAAGAGTAGTGCTCAGAACGTTGTTTGTTGAGGGTAAGTTGCTGCAAAGTGAGAAGAATAGGAATTAACGTCCATTTCTACAATCAACTACATCTTTACTATCGTGGTACTGTTCATTGACATATTACATTTTTTTGCCTTTGATGCATTTAAAAATAATGAATGACGAGGATGCCATAGAGAATTTCAGAAGGAAATATGTTGTCGAGAAAAGGCTAATCAAGCAATATGTGGACCATCTTCTCGGACTAGAGAGGAAAAGTAACTAGAGGACGGAAAGCAGAAAGAGGGCGAACCTGGAAGGAGAACCGAAAATCCTTTACAGATTACAACTGGGAAGCATTGTATAGGGAAGAAACGCTGAAGAAACTGAAAGTTAAGGTCTTAGACCTGCGCGTCATGTAACGAAAGCTGAAGCATTCAAGAGGAGCAATAAAGCAAGAAAAAATAGATCTGGTAACCATAGACATTGCTAAGAAAATGATTGAAGGTAGTAAAGTTCTCGATGAGAGCGGTTGTGATGATGATGTTGATGATGGCGTTGATAATCAATTTCATTTATTACTTTCTGTAAGATATCACCGAATCAAATCTTTCGAAGGCCTACAGTGTATAAACAACAACAATGAGAGGTGTTCCGGATCATCAAGATAAAAAAAGGCTCAATTCTTTCTAGTCACTTTTACACTGAGCAGTAAAAACATGGTCATCCAAAGTCAATTGAACCGAACTGAGGCGACATTTTAAACACGGAGCGATCCTATATAACGAGGATGAGGTATTCAGCCTGCTAATCACAAATCCCAACGGACGACCAATGCACCCATTTGATTGGCTTATTCACTCACGTCTAATTTTGGCGCGTTGCTACAAATTTCTGGGGAGCGACGGGTGTAATTTTCTGTTTTATATATTTTACTAGTAAGCAATGCCTTTTGAACTAAATGAACGATAACTTCAGGAGAAGAGTTTACAAAGAAAATTGACTTTTTTAGTTTTTAACTTCATAATTTTGTTCCTTCACTTGCAAAAGCCTATCGTATGAATTCGAGCTGTTCACTCAAATTTATAAAATGCCACGTCAAGTTCTTTTGATGCCAAATTGTCTTTTCTCCTTCGAAGATCATGGACGCGTTTGAGCAATAAGTTTGGAAACTAAAATTCGTAAAAAACCCCAGACACAAACAGATTGCGAAGGTAATATATTATATCTACGGTAGTATGGTTATTTTTCAGCCAGTTATCTAAAAGAGATTCCATAAGGTGAACATTGGCTGCTGTTGTACACGTGAGTTAGTTTGGCCTCCTGACTAAAGTGCACGCGAGCTCACGCGAGCTACTCTCGCCCACGGAAGTACAGGGCCGTACATAGCGGGGGGGCGAAGGGGGCAGTTGCCCCCGCCAGGAAAACTAAATGTTTTTTTTCTAACATAGTGTCTGATTTTGCTGGGCTGTTTCTTGTAGCTATATTGGTCCGAAATCTCACGAAAACCGAGTTTGCCCCCGCAGACAAAAAATCCTAGGTACGGCCCTGAAGTATGATTACTCCGACAGGCGTTTACAAAAAAAAAGAAAGAAAACAAATCGTTAAACTAATTCTCTCTGCAAGTTGAATTGGTTGATTTAAAATAAATCTACAATCAGGAATACTAAGTAGGAAAACTCGAAGGCGGAAGGGATCGAAACCCGCAAGATGTCTCGTCTCTTTGAAGCATGCAAACCAGTTAGCGGCGCAAGGGTTACTGGGAGAATCAAAATGGCGGAGACCAGTGTGTCTGATTTCAAGTATTTCGTTGTGAAAATGTAGTTCTGGGCGTTTGTAATGCGCCAGCTAGATACTAGAGATAGCTTGGTAGGCATATTTCTTGGTGGTCTGATCAACCGTGGTAAAATAAAACCTTCTAAAAAGATTCGATTCACTATGTAAACTGGGTAGTCAAAGTTTTTCTGGAGTTAGACAAGTAGTTGGTAAAATTTTAAAGGAAGTGTTCTCACGAAGGACCTTTAGCACGCGTTAGTCATTATAATATTGGGGTATTTTGACTGGCTGAGATATGAGAGCAGCAAATCGATTGGGTCCCTGAAAAGGATTGAGCAACTTTGGAAAGGCAGCTATTTGCTAATTCCCATGCCAAAATTGTCAGGGGAGATGCCAAAAATATCGCAGATAAGTATACCAAGATAACCATTTTTATAATTTGGGAAGGATTGTAAAATAGATGCATGCAAATACGCTTAATTGATTTAATTTCCTTGTTGTTTGAATTATGGAAAAAAAATAAAAATTTTTAATTAAATCAAGCTAAATCATGTCTCTTTTCTTAAATTTAAAACTTTTGTCACTGTGAATATATTTAAGCAATAGAAAACATTTTCCGTGTTTGCATAGCCTGATATAAACACGAGAGGGGTTGGGAGAATTCGAGACAGTTATGGAAACCCGAGACGAAGTCGAGAGTTTGCATAACTGTCGAGAATTCTCCCAATCCCTCGAGTGTTTATATCAGGCTATGCAAACACGGGAAAAAAGTTTTCTATTGCTTTTATAAAATAAATTTCCTGAGAAAAAACGCAAAAGTTTTTGTTATGGCACTGATTAAAAGAGAAATTCTTACCAGTCGCAAAGTCTTGTACACGAAGTCTTGCACGCGTAATCAGTTCTCGTTTTGCAAAAAGATGCTTTCAAAAATACGGATTTTCTCGGTTAAAAATGTCAGCTTAAGCGAGAAAAAGTTGACACAGCTTGTTTGTAAAGATTTTCCAAGTTTCAGCCGACGAAGGAATGGGTAAATAAAGTAAACTTGTCGAGTTTTGATCACTAAAACTTTTTCAAATTCGTGCTTGCGTGATTAGCGCGGGAAAAGCAAAACACCTCACCTCAAAACCATGTTTACATATTTTCATGCAAGCACTCCTCTCAGCCAATCAGAGCGCGCGTACTATCTTTGTTATTTTATAAATTTTTAATAGTTTCGGTCGATGTTGGTTTTTATAGTGATATCTTCACTAATATTCATGCTACCTTGCTGGTATTTATTGTTATTATTGTTCGTATATTAATAATATACCTGTTCAGTGTTGTGGTAATTCTATCTTTAATAGTATTTTTTTAAACAAAAATGGTTTGAAATCTGGATATTTGAGATCATTTGAGACTATGGTGAATTAATATATGTGAATACAAAATTAAACAAATGATTGGTACAATATAGGTTCATTGCAAGAGATTTTGTTGAAAATTTTAAAGTATATGGAGAGATTAATGCTAAGTTTAGGTTTATATCACTCGAGTGAAATAAAGTCACCTCAAGTCGCCTAAAGTCGCCGTAAGTCTCCTTAAATCGCCTTAAATCGCCTAAAGTCGCAATGTTTTTTCTGTAAGTTTTGCTTAAGTCGCCTAAAGTCGCCTTAAGTTACGGCGACTTAGGCACGTTCCAAACGCCGCTCCATTCATGCGCCGAACCTAACTGATGAGTTAAGTACGGTAGAAGAGCGGCGTTTGAATCAGTTTGGGTCGGCAGGTTAGGTTTGGAGCGGCAAACAACATTAAATTCGGCAATGTCTGTCGCACTGTGCGACATTCGAGCGGCGGCTGATTCATACGGTCTTCTCCTCATGTGCCGAACCTAATGCATAAATTACTGTAATGGATTTTTCATATAACGGCACTTGTGATTGGCGCAAAATTGAGTGACGTGACCAGTCATGCATAAAGCTCGAAGTCGTCGCTAAAAATATACACAGCAAATACTCTGTCGCGTTTCGCAGCTCCCATTATGCTTTCGATTTATGAGAAACGGGACTGTATAAGCGAGTTTCTTTAGCGCAAATTCATTTTTTTGCTTTTTCTTCGTGATAATAGCCCAGCTTATAAAATTTCACTTTAACAGGTCGAATTTACCGGAAGAAAACCTCTCAAACTACGAACACTGAATCTTGCGATTGAATTTGCTTCCCTAAATATTGCTATAACAGCGACATATTACTCACAGCTTCTCTATTTGGATGGAGTTCTTGAATTCAGAACGCATATTTTCTCATCGAAAATTGTTTACCACGAGCTTCCCGAATTTGACGCAAGTACGCCGTCTGAATCAGCCGTCCTCCAAAGTCACTCCAAAGTCGCTCCAAAGTGGAACTCAATCGAGTTTGGTTCGGCACATGAGAGTGGAGCGCCGTTTGGACCGGGCCTTAAGGTCCCACGGTAGACCTTCTTTGCTTACCGGTTAGTTCGCGTTTTCAGCAGGTTCTTCGCTCTTCTGTTTCCTTTGTGTTGTGTGGTCGGTGAGGTTATTTCACCGAGCATGAGCCGCAACAATGCTTTGAAAAAAGAAATGAGAAACAACTTGCAATTATCCAAATTTCGCAGCTAACCGGTTCTCAACACCAAGTAAAAATGAAAACTGAGGCATCGCCGGTTAAATAAGCTCGCTTAAAGTTGTCTAACAGCTTTTTCTGTAACTTGAAGTTCAGTTTCTTCTGCAATATTTACAGCTGTTGTGGTAATACCACACTGGAATATATTTCTTATTCCATTTCCCTGAACATTCCAAACACTGTCTTTTTGATCCAGGGCTACCAAGAAGATGGAGACACAAACGCCTGCATTCGCGACATCTGTGATGAAGCAAAGCCTTGCCTCCTCTTACATGCCCATGGATTTCTGGTTTGACAAATTTGGGACACCACTCTACATCTGTAATGTCTTCCGAGGAAATGACATGATGCTCTTCGATTTTGAGCATTTCTTCGACCTTTTCCATAAGCGACTTTGGCCATCGCCGACTGTCCTCGAAGTTGTTCCTGTCTACGACGATCTTTCCATTCTTGATTAACTTCTCTTTTTGTGATAGTTCGTTATTTTGCTCGGTGTTTCTTGCGTTGTCCCCGCTGTCATGACTGCGATGCCGCTTCGGTTGTTCGCTGTCGCTTCTTTGCTTCGTGTCGAAAACACTTCGCGCACTTTGCGATATCTGATGAAATACCGAGACCGCATCGCGTTTGTGATCTCTGTGAAGGATTTTTTGCCGGTGAAACTTCCTTTCCATCGTCAGAAAAGAAGGTTTCTTGCAAAGCCCTCTATCACGGTGTGTTCTCAAATCGATTTAATATTTTTTTGTCTAGTGCGCATATCCAGAAAAATCAACTAACAAACACCGGAAATGACGCATTCGATTTTCTCGGAAAGAGAGTGTTTTCGGAGAAAAATAATGACGCAATCAAATCGTTTTAAACTGACGAAAACGAAGCCGCCATCAGCAAAGACAGAGGTCATATGTTTGCCATCCAAAGAATGAAAGAAAAAGAAAGGTTTTTCTTTCGGTTTTTGACTGATTTTAGTTAAACATGTAGAATTTGCAGCAGGATTATCCAACCCCAGATGGTTTGTTTGCGAAAGGTATTTGCTTACCAGCCTTCTTAGCTATAATTGGCTGTCAATTTAACCTACCTATGCTCGTCTAAAATGCATGGCTAAGCAATTTGCAATATCAACTAGAAGTTTCGATAAATTCCAAGAAAAGGAGGCCTTTTCCGGGATATTACCCGAGGGACTTTCCCAAAACATAATTCTAAGAGTATTTATACAACTCCAAGAAATTTTTTTCTTTCGATTCTTCTTCAAATTCGTGGTAAAACGCGGATGGTTTTTCTGAGAACATGATATTAAATCCTTTCACGGTTAACACAGCAATTCACCTGAACATCGAAATGATTTCTTCGGAGTTTATCTTGGTGATTTGTTCATCTTTATGGATTGGAGTGAAACTTCACGAGGAGCCGCAAGAGGTGATATTTTTGCACGGCATCTGGCGGCACATCAAAGAATTTGGAATTGAAGGGCAAATTCCTAGAATATCTTCGCCAGTTAAGCTAGAGAAAAGGTGTTAAAAAACCTCAGGATCCAAAACAACACGTCAATCAAAATATCACTTGGACCTTTTCGCTAATGAAGAGCTATCACGCGGCTAAGCTTGAATTAGACATACATTGAAATAGGAACTCGTGTCAATAAAGTATCTTAAGTGAGTGGGAATCGCTCCTAGTTAAAAAACTGGTTCACAGGGATATGAATCTCTTCTAGTTAAGAGAAGGGAATCAGAAGTGCTTTTCATGCAGGAACAGGTTTTCTTCGGGCTAACTACAAAACTTCAGCTTATTTCACTCCTTGACATTGTCAAAGCGCATTTTGTAAAGATAACTTTTTCCGCTTTATCAGCTTTTTTTATATTCTATTCCATTAATGTTTAACCTCCCTCAAAAAGCCAAATAATATAAATGCTGTTGTTAAAAAAAGCGTTTTACCTGTTTTCGTGAATTCGCTACCCAAAGATCACTATGCTCAAAGGACAGGGCAAAATTTCCAGGAGAGAGGCATTAATTTTTTTTTCCCACGAGGTTACAAAGAGAAAATGCAATGATTATTATTAATGTAACCATCAGGTATACTCTACCCACGAGGTTACGGACAGCAAATGCAGTGATTATTTTTAATGTAACCATCAGGTATGTTCTACCCACGAGGTTACAAAGAGAAAATTCAATGATTATTATTAACGTAACCTTCAGGTATGTTCTACCCACGAGGTTACAGAGAGCAAATGCAGTGATTATTATTAAATGTAACCGTCAGGTATATTCTACCCACGAGGTTACAAAGAGAAAATGCAATGATTATTATTGACGTAACCTTCAGGTATGTTCTACCCACGAGGTTACAGAGAGCAAATGCAGTGATTATTATTAATGTAACCGTCAGGTATGTTCTACCCACGAGGTTACAGAGAGCAAAAGCAGTGATTATTATTTTAAATGTAACCATCAGGTATGTTCTACCCACGAGGTTACAGAGAGCAAATGCAGTGATTATTATTAATGTAACCATCAGGTATGTTCTACCCACGAGGTTACAGACAGCATGCAAATGCAGTAACAATTATTAGATTTTAGGTTGAGTTTCTCCATTAAAAGAGTTTTTTGCTAGGGTTAAACAAGTTTGGCTTTCATGAGTTTCAAGGTGCAAGAAATTATCAGTATAATTATAGCACACAAACATTGTCATCTAATTCTTCGCACGTAGCCGGAATAAGCCAAGAAATGAAGCATATATAACGAAAAATCGTCCTCAGATGATCTCCATATTAAGTAAATGATACTAAACGTTGCGAAAAAAATTATTGTTTGTATCCGTCCTATCCATCGTAAAAGCGAGGGGTCATCGCATGACATCCGGTATATTAAACAGAGGTAATACTCACGGGTTTCACGAGTTGTATGCACTATTTTTCGCCGAGAAACAAATTTAAACTTCAATTCTTACCTTACAGTAGTCCGTTCTTTTACCTTGCATTCGACAACAAATCCGTTAAAGGCGAACAAAGCGATTCCGGCACTCTTCTTTATGATGAGTAGCAAGCCGCAGGAACTGAAGCCGCTTGACTGAAGTAAAATCCACCGATATTCGCGGCATGCTCACTACAAATATAAACAAACGTCGCGGAGAAAAAAAGACGAGGAGGAAAAAATGCCAGATCTTCGCCTCGGCAATGTATTCCAGCTACCATGCCGGCGTATCTCCAGAAGGAGGACTCGACGTGGGACAAACCCTGTGATCTTTTTTTAGAAGCCCTTTGCGCGCAAACTAATTTATTCTGGCGCGAAATGAAGAATATGTATACTGAAATCTAATCCACGACAAGAAGATTTTCGCACTGTAGCGCGACATATTAAATGCCTATCTTTACAAGTACGCGGAGAAAGTGGTCCACTAGTTTAACTTTTTTAAGATTAATTTTTACTCCACAAAAGCAAAATGAAATGTTTTATCTCTATGGTTTTTACGTGCCTGATTAGAAGGCAGAAGTAAATTCATCATACAGACCCCATCAAAATGAAAGTACACGAATGAAACGGAATAAGTCTGGGACGGTTTAGTTTCTACCCAGCAGCTTCTTTGCTTTTATAACAAAAATTTAATGTTGCAGTCTGTTTTAAACGTTGGCATATCAACGCACACAGTCACTGAATGAAAACAACAAACACGATCACGTTCTTCGAAACCGACCAGACGCGCGCGACCTACCACTGTTATGGTAAGCAATTATCCTGAAGGTGTTAATGTTCCCGTGACAGTCTTCGCACTGAAGGTGTAAATGGTAAACCGAACGGTCGCTTTGATCATCAGAAAGACCTGTCAACTTTGATGATTTAACTGATTAAATTACGGGACAGAAATTTTACTGCTTGCGGCTCATCGTGCTATATTTTTCAAGAAACGTTTCCGGTGGAGAGAACACTGTTTTGCCTGTTTAAGTTTGGATAGCGCGATTCTTCTCATAATCGCTGCGCATTTTTTGCTGCCGATGATAACAGCAAGATTAGATAGTGCGAATCTTATTCCCATAATGGCTGCGCAGTTTTTGTTGCCGAAAGTTTGGTTATTGCAGATGATAACAGCAGTGACAGCTATGGTCTTGGCTATCAAGGACATGTATTGGATGATGAATAATCTATGGGAATTAGTCAAGTCCTTGGTGCTTGGTGCCTACATAATTATATCCTGGGAGAGTGAACGGGGATCATGTATTTTGCCCTTATCTTCCGTGTTTTTTGCGCTAACTCAGTTCCTGCGATGGCCAAGATGGCTGAAAGATTTCCTCAGTGAAGTGAGAATCGTCTGTGGCCCTGCCTTTCCCATTTCCGTCTTCGCAACATGGCTGAAACAGAGCGAACCCTCTGGCTCGTCATCCTGTGTTCTCGTTGCTGTACTCTGTTCCTCGGTAGCCGCCATCTTTTTTCGCCCCGACAACTCTGAAGTTTTGGTCTTGTTGCATCTACCAGTCCCCAGCTCGAGAAACAGGAAAGTTTGTCATGCAATATTGATGTTTTTCAGTCTCCTTTATTTGACAGTGCATATTCCGTGCATTTACAGTAACCCTGTTTCTATTGTGGTGGTCATACTGTGCGTGTGTTTCTTTTTTCGCGCCACCGACACTGCGCACCGCGCGTATCATTGGATCGGCCGTTTTTTTCCGGGAAACCGTGACCGTGAATGACAATAACGATAACTTTACAATTGATGGGTAAGCACTTCTGTTAAAACCTGAGGAAAATCCCTGGCTGCGGGGATCAGTACCGGAATCTGTTAGGCCTACTCTGGGACCTCAAGTCGCCGTAATTTTAGGCGACTTGGGGCGATTTAAGGCGACTTTAGGAAAATTTGGTCAAAATGTTGTGCGACTTTAGGCGACCTAAGGAAAAAAAGGTGACATTTAGGTGAATTATAGTTTAGTGAATATGTTGGAGCTAATTTTTATTTCAGTTAATTTTTGGTTTTCCCTGCTTTAAATTCATTAGCATACATAATCATACCCAGAAACAATGGAAAAATAAAAATTAACTGCAACAAAAATTAACTACAACATATGCAAAATTCAAATAATAATAATAAATCCCTGCCTCTCTAGGGACACAATGTCATAGCATAAGTTAATTCAGTCTTGAAGATATCTACACTAGTCTTCCAAATTTTCAACAATCTCAGCTTACCTAATATTTTGAACATTAAATATCAAAGGTAGCTTGTGTTGCAGATGTATTCTGACCCTGGTAAGTAACATTTGCGAAGCAGCACTAACATCCTTGTTCTGGGCCCCAACGTACTCAACGAATTACCAGCATTTTGAGTTTCCCTTCAACATGTTTGGCAAATTGACAATGGCATTTTTAACAGTCCAGTCCTGGCAGGTACTCAAATCCTGATACACACACGGGGGAACCAGAACTAGGATTTTACCGCTGTTTTGCCGACGGACTGAACCCAGAGTTTAGTTCCATCTGTCGCCGATGGCAGTGCCAAGTGTAAACGTTTCCATTATTATCTCAGAAATTTCCATTTAAAAGGAGATTTTCAAACGAAAACGCAACGTACAATTGACAAGAACAAGAGCACATTTCTATCCGCCATTTTGCTTCTCCCAGAATCCACTACAGTCGCAAGCTAATTTCCATTGTTTCTCGGTCCCGCCCTCTCCCCGCCTCCAGACCAGCTAGTCACGTGACCAAAACACAATACCTCAGGCGGCCATAACGTGGAGGAAAGAGCTGTATAATTTCGTTTATTTGGTCCAAGTCTCGTGCTTTTGTCGGTAAAAAAACGGAAACTAACTATATCGAGGAAAATAAAATAGTATTTGACTTTTTTTGTCATATATGGATTAACTTGTATCGAGCTCGCACGGAAGCGGCAGGTAAAGCACGTAGAGTTGTTTGATGCTAAAATTCGAAATGATTTTGATGGATCAAACAACATTAAATCAAAGATTACATGTAAGCTTATAGCTCTTTAAAAAATGGGCGATTTCTTACTTTCGAATTTCGCTCATGCAAAACTCCATTTTGATCGATCCAACATTATCAGAAATTTCCAAATCATCCATGCTCGAAATTTTCCTCTTTGCTGTGTTCAGCTACGGTACATTCAAACTCGTAATCATCTATTAAAAGAATCGACAAATCGATTATAATATTCTGTACTTAAATTGGTTTCGGGATTATCCTCAACGAGGTATACAGTAAAGTTTTGGGTTTTCGGTGGTTATTCTTTGCTTGTTGTTAAATCAATAACAAGGCAATGAAATATTGACATATCCTTTATTTACTTTTTTGTCAGAGAAGATGAACTTGATCTCAAATCAAACGATAAGTGCAGCAACACTTTTCGAAGTTTTCTGATGATGAATTAACTAAAAGAAGATGCCGGTAGTTTGTCTTTGAAGGACCTGTATCAGTCAGAGTGACAATAATATGAATAAAGATCTTACCCATGGGAAGATCTGGGTTTTTTACTCCTTTGTAGTAATTAGCATGTACAATAATCACTTCAGCAACCAAAACAAATTTAAAATCCTTACATTATTGTTCCAACCATTATGTTCTCTTCCTCTTCATATAGGGTGTTATTTCAAAGTTTTTTCCCTCAAAATATTAGTTTACTACCTAAGATTGTGACTGAAGCTCATGCTAATTTAATGAAAAAGAAAACTACTTACTGCAACACTACTTTGAAGCATTAATATGCAGTCATGGTCAAGTACACCCCTTTGGAACGTTCGAGTCTTTCCAGTCTGATTTGGTAGCCCGTAGTATGTTTCATTTATTCATCATCAAAGTTGATATGGGCTGTAGTGCATTATTACATAGTGCACATTTTCCCCCAGCGCACTATTATTTTATGAACTAAAAGAAGGTCGGGTTCACCACTCGTGAGTGTTGTCTATGTTCTTCATCAACAATGGTCGATTACATCAACTCGTTTGGCAGGGAGCAATCACGACAACATAAACAAAGCGTAGTTTTACGCACCTTCGATGTACAAAGCTTGAATTTCTGTCTGGAAGGGAAGACCTAAAGAGACGACTGTACAAGCTAAGCTAAGTGTTCAAGTTTATAAGAGTGATTGTGTTTCTGTCAATGATAGATGAATATAATTCGACAGTAAATACACTAGATCAGAGGTTGTGTGCTGGAGAAATAACTTAACATTGGCTGCTCTTTAAATCTGGGTCGGTAATTTACATGGACATTTTTTTTGATAGACTTTAGGCTTGTTTGCCCTACTTACCAGAAAATTTAGATCAATGTTGTGGCGGCAATAATTGTTTAATTAGTTACTTGGAATGTCTTTCAATGGTGGACTCTCACAAAGCAGTAGAAAGGGTGCTTAAATTTTTAATTATATTTTGTTCAGGGTGCAAAGAAAGTCTGCTTTACAGCTTGCTATTCCGGCAAGCTGTACCTAGCATGAACTACCCTGAAAGCCATTTTGACTAGCCCCAATTTTTTTATGAATGGGATTGATTACAGTTCTTTTGAATCTGAATTCCCTAGAAAACTTTACTTGCCAGCCAGGCAAGTTAAAAATGCAGTCACCAGCTCAATAATAAAATCCAGTACCCCAGGGTTGTTGCCTGGACACTACTCTGTCTACTCTCTTTGCACGCTGTTTAATATAATTTGGCTAAACCTTTGAATGCCTTTTTATATTAACAACACTTTTACTCGGAAATACGAGACAAACCTCCCCGATGAAATTATTAAAATACCTGTACAAGTGTCATTTTTCCAAAAAAAATACAGGGATGATTATTCTTGTATTGCTTTCAACTTATTTTTATGTGCATTAAATTGCCTAAAGTAAGTTAATGTATAAATTAGAGGGCTGAAGAAGAAGATAATGGTCTTAAGTCACTTTGAGAGTTTTTTTGGTGGTGGTGGGGGTGGGGGGTTGGGGGGATCTTTGGCTAATATTATTGAACATGGGTTATTACACAATTTATGAGAAATCATGCATTCTGGAAATGGAAAACTAAAAAAGTACAATTTGAACCTCTTTAAGATTTTAATGATTTAAAGTGACTTGAAGCGACTAGAGGCGACCTAAGGCGACTTTAGGCGACTTAAGGTCCCAGAGTAGGCCTTCCGTTACAGGGAATTATCTTCAGAGACATCAACAGTACTCAGAACTAATAAAATAAATAGGTACAACGATCTCGTTTTAATCCAAGAACATAACCAGAATGCAACCGGAACATATAACCAAAGAATATTTTACAAGGGACGAATATTTCAGCCGAAAACACAACTCTAAAGGATTATTTAAAGCTATTAAGGGAAAGTTCATTTAATATGACAAGGGGGGGGGATGAAGATATTGAGGGGGGGCTCCGAAAATTTTTAGACACCCGAAGGGGGGGCTCTGAAAAAATTGTTGCGCTAGGAGGGGGGGCTCCGAGAATTTGTATACTTCAAAACCAACACATGACATCATCATACAGATCGGATGGTTTTCAACTCAACAATTTAATGACCTGTGCAACTCAGCTATATCACGTGGTTTACAGATATAACAAATGTAGGGTGTGTTCCTTTCGGTGAATCCAAAAACGGATTTTAGATCTAAGAACGGATTTCGCGTTCCTTTCGGCAAATCCAAATCCGGATTTTTGATCTGGTGAATCCTTTTTGAAAAAGGATTCATTGGATTTGAAATCCGAAGAATCCAAATCCAGATTAACGGATTAGTGATCTACACTGTTCCATTCACAGTGGATCCAAAATTAGTCAGATGATCCAGCGGTATTTCTAGTTGAAGTATTTTCATAGAGGCCGTAGAGTTTCCTCGTTGCTGTCATTTGCCGCAAAACATCTGAAAACACTAGAAGATTGTTTCTGGTAGATTAAAATATCCATATACTAGCCATTTGTCTCTAAAGATTGCTTGAAATCAAAAATAAGTAAAAGTAACAAATGGACTGCTATCTAACTACAAACTCGCTTGTAGACGCGACAGGCACTCGATCGTGTTACATAAAAAAACCAGAGCTATGGAACTGGATCAAACTGGCCGACATTCTTTAGATAATTTTGAATTTTAATGAGCTTCTTTCTTTGTCTGTTTTATATGTTCCATCGTCGCTATTCGAACTGCCGACCACTAAATTCTGCACGGTGTAATCGCATAATTTGTCAAAGAGTAGAAAACACGTCACTTTTTGAGGGGCTGTCGTGCATATTGCATGCGTTGGCGAAAGGTTACCAAGGTTACAAATCCAATTTCGGATTTCACGTTCCTTTCGACCGCGAAATCTGGCAAATCTAGGATCAAAAATCCGTTTTGGGATTCGCCGAAAGGAACACACCCGTAGTCTCAGTAATTATTACACTCTTGTTCATCCCAAAAATGCTTTAGAAAATTGTAACACAACTGTATCTCAAGTTTGTCATAGTATAAACCATTGAAGACAATAACGGTAAATATATTTAATACAGTCTAGCGATCTTTTTTCAGGGGAGCAAAGGAATTGAAGGAGGAGAGGGGGGGGCTCTGAAATTTTTTCGACTACTAAGGAGGGGGCTCCTAAAAAATTGAACCGCTAGCGAGGGGGCTGCTAAAATTTCAAGCTTCGAGTTTCAATATCTTCATCCCCCCCTTGTCATATTAAATGAACTTTCCCTAAGAATTCTTAACTAAACATTATCTCATACATTTCAGAAGGCTAGATTGGCTATAACGGAATTCATCGTATACAACATTATAACTTTCAAAACAATACAGGTAGATAACAGTTCAACAAAAGCCTATCGCAGGTAGTAATTACAGTTCAACGCTTTATATAAAAGAAAGTTAATGATGTGATTTTCTCCCCTCACAATCCAAACAATCAACTAATAAACACCGGAAATAATGTATCTGTTTTTCTCGCAATCAAATCGTTTTGAACTGGCGTCTTTTTTCTCAGAAAACGAAGTCGCCATCGGCAGACAGAGGTCATGTTTGCCATCCAAAGAATGAAAGAAAAAGAAAGGTTTTTCTTTCCGCTTTTGACTGATTTTAGTTAAACATGTAGAATTTGGAGCAAGATTATCCAACCCCAGATGGTTTGTTTGCGAAAGGTGTTTGCTTACCAGTCTTCTTAGCTATAACTGGCTGTCAATAAAACTGCTTATTCTTTTCAAACAATGCATGGCTAAGCAGTTTGCACCAACAACTAAAAGTTTCGATAAATTCCAAGAAAAGGAGACCTTTTCCGGGATGTTACCGGAGGGAATTTTCCAAAACATTTAAAACTTTAAAATGAATCAGCAATATATATATATTTAGCCAAGCCTAAAAGCGGAGCTCCAAAATTATTTTTTCCATTTATTTCTAGTCTGCTTATCGTATGACCAATGGAACGAAAACGAGAGTGATTTTGAGTATATTATCCCTTATTTCGAGTTATCTTATTTACGTTTTGTATTAGTTAAAATATAAAACCGGACCAGAAGTCACAAAGACTTTCGGTCCGGTCTACCGGGAACGGAAGTCACTATGTCAATCAATCAATCAATCAATCAATTCATTTACTTCAATATGTGGGATAGGGGTTGCCACGATTATCCGAGCCAGAGGCTCATGTATAAAACGAGTGACAATAAAAATACTTAGTTAATAAAGATACAATACATTTGAATAGAAAATAATTTTAAAAGATCACAAATGTATGAAAACAAATAATAATAATATATCCGTTAATGCTCAAAGCTACACCTTCCCGTATCCCACTGAATAAATTAAAAACTAAAAACCGTAAGAATAAGTTTAAAACCCTATGGGGAAAAAACAGATATAGTAAAACCCCAAGATATACAAAAATTTCATTTACAATTGGCTCTCAAGATTGTAAGATTAAAAGATCTCAGGTGCTTACCATGTTCACTCAACTCAGTCGATCTCTTAATGTAAGAAGGAAGTTGATTCCACAAATGTGAAGCCTTGTAAGTGAAAGAATTGTGATGATATCGATTATTATAGGATGGTTGAATGAGATTGTGATCGCTGTTCCTTAAATTGTAGCGCAACATACGAGTTTCGAATAAATCAGAAATATAGTCAGGCCCATTTCCTTTCAGTTATACATTTAAAAAGGAGGACAAGAGATTGATAGTATCGTCTATGTTCCAGTGATTGCATGTTTACAGCAGACAATATGGAATCGTAATCTAAGCTGTTTCCGAAATAATAAGGTCCTTCCGTCCAAGATGGCGGGGCGAGTTATCTTCGGATTGTATACATGAACAGTACTAATGTTTGGTTCTAATCAAACCTTGGGAATTGCGTTGAATGAGTCGAACACTAAAGGAAAATCTCCAATTCAGTAGCGGCGATAACAGGGGATGATGTTGGCGTTATACCGATTTGTTTGATCGAATGAAACGTTAAGTTCAAGCCACATTTTAATGCACAAGATCATACGTTTGCTTGCTGTGAAGGTAAGTTATCACCTTAAATACAATGATTTTAAGCTATTTTTCTCAATCAACCAGTCACAGCGCTTCTACAACGTGTGAAATGTTATTAATTAGTGCATAGCCAGGCCGTCCAGTTAGGGGGTATACCGAAAAAGCTATAGACATTCTTGATATTGTTTACAACTTAAGGCTTCTTTTTCCATGTTACTGCCTTTGCTTTAAGACCGTCGGTTTAGGCTTTGATGGATTTTTTTTGGTCGTCGACTTAAGGCTTCTTTTTCCATGTTACTGCCTTTTGTTCAAGGCCGTCGGGTTTAGGCTTTCATGAACTTTTTTTTTTGTCGACTTAAGGCTTCTTTTTTCATGTTACTGCCTTTGGTCTACCCCCGTCAGGTTTAGTCTATGGTGGTCGACTTAAAGTTTCTTTTTAAGTGTTGCTGCCTTGGTTTAAGGCCGTCGGGTGTAGGCTTTGATGGATTTTTTTTGTTTCTTCCTCTCGCCCTCATGGCCTCTGAGTCAATAGCCCATGCGGACGAAGACCGAATGGGCTATTCACTCAGAGCCCATTCGGGCTCGAGGAATAATTGTTAATTAGTATAAAACAGTGGATAGCGTTTTTCACGCGCTCTGATTGGAGGCTCAAACTAGGGAAATCCAGTGCTATTCACCTCAGAGCGAAGCCAAACTCGCGTTAGTTACGAGCAAAATAGCTTCCAGATTAGCTATTGTACCAAACGAAGAAATTTCACAAATAAACCAAGAAGCTATAAAACGTAGCTATACAACAAATCAATTATTCAGAATGTGGCTTGTGCATGCTGCAGGCCCCTTGTGGTACATAACGAAATTTTAAGTCTAAATTCACTATTCTACAAATGTCTATTGTAAAAGGTAAAATTTATTTCGATCGTTTTCATGTTTCTTTTTTCTCTCTGAAGGAAATCCAGTTGAAATCCTAGTTGGTATTTCGGTAGCATCGTTTTCCAGCATCAAGGAAGTGGATATGGTAATACATTTTTAACTCCTGGAGGTGAAGCTCCCTTTTCTTATGGTTATGTAATAGACCTTATTCACGATACCCGCCATCTTTGCAACAACAACAACAAACTTTATTAATAAACAGATGATATTACAGAAGCACTTCGCGCAGCTAGCAGGGCTATACGAGGCAGGACAGTAAGCAAGAATTTATTATCCAACATTTTGGGCTAATTTATCTTTTTAATTAAGGTGGGCGTATCAATATTGTCGTCTTCCGAATTTAAAATATCAAAAAGTAATTTTCAAAGTGTGTGTTTTTTTTATTTTATTTAATTTCGTTTTTTTATTTCATTCTTAGGGAGATGCCGGATGTGACACGCGCTTTAGGTTCGACGGAATAAAAGCAATGTCACATGGTATTTCGAGGGGCAAACAAAAGACAACATTTGCCAATGCGAGTAATCGTGGTCTAGTTTGCTCATTCTATCAAAACCAGACGACGACTTAATAGTCTTGCAAGGAGTACAGTTCAATTTACGTCATTATTGTTTGCTGTGAGGACAACTACGTCGCTACTCATCATCCAAAGAAGTAACAACAGTCACTTCCATCGGCCATAATTTGCCACCAGTATCGTCTTTACTATGAAAAGTTCTCCATTTTCCTTTGTCTATAATAAACAAACGCGACCGCGATTTCATACATTAGCAATTTTTTTTACTTCGCGTTTCGGAGCTCTTTATGCCTTCGATTTATGAGAAACGGGACTGTATGAGCGAGTTTGCTTTTTCTTCGTGATAATAGCCCAGCTTACGAGATTTCCCTTTAACAGGTCGAATTTACCAGAAGAAAACCTCTCAAAATACGAACACTGAATCTTGCGATTGAATTTGCTTTCCTAAATATTGCTATAACAGCGACATATTGCTCACAGCTTCTCTATTTGGACGGAGTCCATGAATTCAGAACGCATATTTTCTCATCGAAAATTGTTTACCACGAGCTTCCCGAATTCGACGCAAGTACGCCGTCTGAATCAGCCATCCTCCAAAGTCGCTCCAAAGTCGAACTCAATCGAGTTTGGTTCGGCACATGAGAGTGGAGCGCCGTTTGGACCGGGCCTTAAGGTCCCAGGGTTGGCGTTCTTTGCTTACCGGTTAGCTCGCGTTTTTAGCAGGTTCTTCGCTCTTCTGTTTCCTTTGTGTTGTGTGGTCGGTGAGGTTATTTCAGAATCACCGAGCATGAGCCGCAACATTGCTTCGAAAAAAGAAATGCGAAACAACTTGCAATTATCCAAATTTCGCAGCTAACCGGTTCTCAACACCAAGTAAAAATGAAAACTGAGGCATCGCCGGTTAAATAAGCTCGCTTAAAGTTGTCTAACAGCTTTTTCTGTAACTTAAAGTTCAGTTTCTTCTGCAATATTTACAGCCGTTGTGGTAATACCACACCGGAATATATTTCTTATTCCATTTCCCTGAACATTCCAAACACTGTCTTTTTGATCCAGGGCCACCAAGAAGATGGAGACACAGACGCAAGCATTCGTGACACCTGTGATGAGCCAAAGCCTTGCCTCCTCTTACATGCCCATGGATTTCTGGTTTGACAAATTTGGGACACCACTCTACATTTGTAATGTCTTCCAAAGAAATGACATGATGCTCTTCGATTTAGCAGTTCTTCGACCTTTTTCATCAGCGACTTTGGCCATGGTCGACTGTTTTCGAAGTTGTTTCTGTCTACGACGATCTTTCCATTCTTGATTAACTTCTCTTTTTGTGATAGTTCGTTATTTCGCTCGGTGTTTCTTGCGATGTCCCCGATGTCATCACTTCAATGCCGCTTCGGTTGTTCGCTGTCGCTTCTTCGCTTCGTGTCGAAAACACTTCGCGCACTTTGCGATATCTGATGAAATAATGAGACCGCATCGCGTTTGTGATCTCTGTGAAGAATTTTTTGCCGGTGAAACTTTCTTTTCATCGTCAAAAAAGAAGGTTTCTTGCAAAGCCCTCTATCACGGTGTGTTCTCAAATCGATTAAATATTTTTATTTTGCTAGTGCGCATATCCAGAAAAATCAACTAACAAACACCGGAAATGACGCATTCGATTTTCTCGGAAAGCGAGTGTTTTCGGAGAAAAATAATGACGCAATCAAATCGTTTTAAACTGACGAAAACGAAGCCGCCATCAGCAAAGACAGAGGTTATATGTTTGCCATCCAAAGAATGAAAGAACATGATATTAAATCCTTTCACGGTTAACACAGCAATTCACCTGCACATCGAAATGATTTCTTCGGAGTTTTTCTTGGTGATTTGTTCATCTTTATGGATTGGAGTGAAACTCACTATATTTTTCAAGAAACGTTTCCGGTGGAGAGAACACTGTTTTCCCCGTTTAAGTTTGGATAGCGCAAATCTTATTCTCATAATCGCTGCGCATTTTTTGGTGCCGAAAGTTTGGTTATTGCAGATGATAACAGCAGTGATAGCTATGGTCTCGGCTACCCCGGAAATGTATTTGATGATGACTAATAATCTATGGGAATTAGTCAAGTCCTTGGTGCTTGGTGTCTGCATAATTGTAACCTGGAAGAGTGAAGGCGGTTCATATACTTTGCCCATATCTTCTTTGTTTTTTGCGCTAACTCAGTTCCTGCGATGGCCAAAGAACCTGAAAGATTTCCTCGGTGAAGTGCGAATCGTCTGTGGCCCTGCCTTTCCCCTTTCCGTCTTCGCAACATGGCTGAAACAGAGCGAACCCTCTGGCTCGTCATCCTGTGTTCTCGTTGCCGTACTCTGTTCCTCGGTAGCCGCCATCTTTTTTCGCCCCGACAACTCTGAAGTTTGGGTCTTGTTTCATCTGCCAGTCCCCAGCCCGAGAAAAAGGAAAGTTTGTCATGCAACATCGATGGTTTTCAGTCTCCTTTTTTTGACAGTGCATATTTTACTGTATCAAACTCTTCCTTGCATTTACTGTAAACCTGTTTGTATCGTGGTGGTCGTACTATGCGTATGTTTCTTTTTTGGCGCTACTGACACCGCGCGTATCATTGGATCGGCCGTTTATACAGGTACTTATAAACTCCATAGAAATTGAAAGCAGATTGCATTCCACAATAACGACTCAAACGTCTTTGTAAGGAAATGGTCTCGCTTTAAAAATACCCTCTCACAAAATCTATTGCATTAACAATATATAAGAAGCGTAAAACGTAAAATCCCTTGACTTGAAATCAAATATCTTGTATGACTTTTTGTGTGATTGTATTTGACTATATGTATATACCTTTTGCTTGATTTATATGTTTATTTTAGCCTCGTACCTTTCTGTTTTTGGTGGCAATATATACTTTCTTTGTTTGGTCATACAAATAAGTTGCATACTCGAAACATCTCCACGCTTTTCAAATGCTTTGTAAAATGTAGAATCCCTTGACTTGAAATCAAATATCTTGTATGACTTTTTGTGTGATTTTATTTTACTATATGTATATACTACAATGAATGTCAACACTTGTTGTGGCAATAAAAAAAAAACTTGACAACTGATCGGTAAGCACTTCTGTAAAAACCTGGGGAAACTCGCTGGCTGCGGGGATCAGTACCGGAATCTGTTGGGCCTACTCTGGGACCTTAAGTCGCCGTAATTTTAGGCGTCTTAAAAAAAGGCGATTTAAGGCGACTTTAGGAAAATTTGGTCAAAATGTTGTGCGACTTTAGGGCAAAAAGATGACATTTAGGTGAATTACATGTTAGTGAATTTGTTGCAGCTAATTTTTTATTTCAGTTAATTTTTGGTATTCCTTTGTATTAAATTCATTAGCACACATAATCAGAACCGAGAAACAATGGAAAAATAAAAATTAACTGCAAGAAAAATTAACTACAACATGTGCAAAATTGAAATCTACTGATAACACTACCTCTCTAGGGACACAATGTCATAGCATAAGTTAATTCAGTCTTGAAGACATCTACATTAGTCTTCCAAATTTTCAACAATCTCAGCTAATGATTTTGAACTTTAAATATCAAAGGTAGCTTGTGTTGCAGATATCAGTGTTCCAACCGTGGTTAGTAACATTTGCGAAGCAGCAGTAATATCTTTGTTCTGGGCCCCAACGTACTCAACGAATTACCAGCATTTTCAGTTTCCAGTCCTGTCCTGGCAGTTTACTCAAATCCTGATACACCCACGGGGGGGGGGGGGCGTTGGGGGGGCCCGTTTAACAGAACTAGGATTTTACCGCTGTTTTGCAGACGGACTGAACCCAGAGTTTAGTTCCATCTGTGGCACAGGCTAATATCAAGAGTCTTGGTTTAGATATACACTAGCAGAGACAAAATCTGAGTTAGAAGAAACCAAAAGGGTAAATTCTCTCTTAACCTTTAAATGCATCATTTTACAATATAAGGGACAAAAAATCAATGGTTCATGCATTTATTTTTCCAAAAAATAAAACCCTAAAAGTACAGTATTTCAGTACATCTCTGTAAAACACCGTAAGCTGGTTTTTAGCAAAAACTTTATATTGAAGTGTCTTTTTTTCATAATTTCACAACAAACATTTAAGTAATTAATTTAAAACAACTAAAATCACTTACCGATATCGCACGTTATGGAAATGACGATCCCCATTGTATGTCTTGGCAGTTGCTTTGCCAATGTTTGTCCTCACACGTTTGGCAAAGAGGGTTTTTTTCCAATTGAATTCAAAACATGAAGTTGGTAGTTCTCGCCGTATATATTGCTCCTTTCCCGTCTCAGTCAAACAAAACACTTCCAAATACTTGCTTCGCTAGTGAACCATGCATACTTTCTTTTCATGGTCCCTTTGGAAACTTTCCAGTCGGGTTGATTTTATTAGTGCATTTATACACCAACAGAAACAACTAAGCTTAGCCTCAACCAACCTCGCTCTGTTCCACGCGGCAGCGTTTACGCTCTCAGCCCAAATGGAAGCATTATGCGTCATGTTTAAACCGATGGAAGTGCCAAGTGTAAACGTTTCCATTATTATCTCAGAAATTTCCATTTAAAAGGAGAGTTTCAAACGAAGACGCAACGTGCAATTGACAACAACAAGAGCGCAGTTCTATCCGCCATTTTGCTTCTCCCAGAATTCCACTGCAGTCGCAAGCTAATTTCCTTTGTTTCTCGGTCCCGCCCTCTCTCGGCCTCAAGACCAACTAGTCACGTGTCCAAAACACAATGCCCTTAGGCGGCCATAACGTGGGGAAAAGAGCTGTACAATTTCGCTTTTCTACATTCGTCATCAACAATGGTCGATTACATCGACTCGTTTGGCAGGGAGCAATCACGACAACATAAACAAAGCGTAGTTTTACGCACCTTCGATGTACAAAGCTTGAATTTCTGTCTCGAAGGGCCTAAAGAGACGACTGTGCAAGCTAAGCTGTGTTCAAGTTTTTAAGAGTGATTGTGTTTCTGTCAATGATAGATGGATATAATTCGACGGTAAATACAGATCAGAAGTTGTGTGCTCGAGAAATAACTGAACATTGGCTGCCCTTAAAATCTGGGTCGGTAATTTACATGGACACTTTTTTTGATACACCTCAAGGCTTGTTTGCCCTACTTACAAGAAATTTAGATTAATGTTGTGGCGGCAATAATTGTTTTTTTCCCCTGCTGCGACCTACCTGTTTTGATCTTAGTTACTTGGAATTTCTTTCAACGCTGGGCTCTCACAAAGCAGTAGAAAGGGTACTTTAACTTTTAATTATTTTTTGTTCAGGGTGCAAAGAAAGTCAGCTTTACAGCTTGCTATTCCGGCAAGATGAACCTAGCATGCACTAGCCTGAAAGCCATTTTGACTAGCCCCAATATCTTATTATACTTTATCTTCAAGTAATTTCTCAATTTCTTGCTGGGTCGATCAAGCGAATCGAGAAGCCATTCTTACTTCGCTGTCCGCACTGGACGAAAAAACGGATTTACTAATGTTTGCGAAAGGTGCAAATATGTGGTAAATTTGGAGCTCCAAATTTGCATTACATTTGCGCTGTCGGCTAAAGTGTGGGCAAATTCATATATTTGCTAGATAGGTATTGATACGCAAAAGTCAAGTAAATGTAATGGTTTGATACAAATTTGATACATATTTGCAGCATGAGCAAATCTTCAACATTTCTACCAATTTACTCAAATTTACATCCTTGGCAAAAATGACAGTTTTCACTGTACTTCAAATGCAGGCAAAAATATTGCAAAACCACTAATTTGCAGTGGTGTTTGCTCTTGTTTTTCCAGGATACCAAAAGAACACTTTTGCATGTGGTTTACTCGTATTTGCCTTAAGAGCAAAAACAATAAATTTCTACACATTTGGCTGTATCATAAATTTGAACATTTGTATCATAATTATCCATATTTGCAAGGGGAGCAAATATAGTGAACTGCATAACATTTGCTGACAGTCAAAGGTGATGTGCATGTGACATTTCCTATATGTTTGATTCGTTTTGTGACTAAAGTAAATTTCCAATCTCAACTGTAACATTACATTGTTACAATAAAATTTTGTACATGCTGTGAGACTCCGCCAAGAGGTCTAACCCCTTACATGCATCTTTCCTGTTAACTGTTTTATATGCACTGTCATTTCAATATAAAGGAATCAGAAACCAGTTACTTTTTTTGACAATTTTACAGTCACAAATTTCTTCTGTTAGTCTTTTTACAGAACGAATCAAACCTGGTCCAAAAGAAAAAGTTTTGTGGATTTCAAACTCAGGGTTGTGATTATTCACTTGTACACAATTTCCTCCTGGTCATTTAACCAACAAACTTAATTCAAATTAATACCAACAATTTTCGTTTAACCGGTATTTGTTGTAGTTTTGACTGCCCACCTAGAGATGACCGCATCTCGATGGTGGGCTTCCTAAAAATGACCACATTTTGAAAACCCAACAGTCAATGCTACAACAAAATATGGTGAAACTGCTCACAATTTTATTTGAACATTAACCCGTAAATTTGGTTTCAAAGTAATGTCACTCTATTGTCTTTTTTGCATCTCTCGCAAGTTAAAGTGAGAGTTCACAGAGACTGTGCGGTTTTCTCGGGTGCGTTTTAGAAGCTGCCGTAACAAAAAGGTTACTACACTACCGGAATTAAAACATCGTGGAAATTATTAATTTAAAGCCGCGGAGTATTTTCCCCAACAATGAACAATATTACCTCTAACTTTCTGCGACAACGCTGCAAAATTTTTTAGGTTATTTTTCAACCGAATAGGCTGCGAATTTAATGCGATGATCATTTTCACTTTCATACCTTCATCCGCATTTCATATATTTCAATTCATGCTTACCAAGATCTCCCTAATTTTATGTCTAAACGCAAGGCTTTTTAATGGAATCTTCATTTCAAGGCCAGAACTAACACTAAGCGCTAAACAGAAACTGCCTTATGAAAAAAACTTTTAAAATTGACGCGCTGTTTTAAAGGCCTCACTGGATCTGGATGGGGTTAATTAAAAACGTAAGCGAAACATTAATTTTGCAATATTTAAATTATGTCTAAAAAATAAAGCTTCCCTCTGAGATACCAGGCGAATAAAATTCTCACAGGGCCACAGCCTAAACAGGCTAAGCTGCTCTGTTGAATCAGGAAGGCCAAACTTTTTTCTTAATGCTGGACAGAGATTAAAACAATATCTAAAAGCGCGCTTTTAGTTCCCTCCGAGACACCCGGAGAATAAATTCTCACAGAGCCACAGCCTAAAAAGGCTAAGCTTCTCTGTTGAATCAGGAAGGCCAAACTGTTTTACTTAATGCGAGACGGGGATTCAAAAATATCTGAAAAGCGCGTTTTAGTTCCCTCTGAGACACCCGGAGAATAAAATTCTCACAGAACCACAGCCTAAAAAGGCTAAGCTGCTCTGTTGAATCAGGAAGGCCAAACGTTTTTTCTTAATGCTGGACAGAGATTCAAACAATATCTAAAAGCGAGTTTTTAGTTCCCTCTGAGACACCCGGAGAATAAAATTCTCACAGAGCCATGCACAGCCTAAAAAGGCTAAGCTGCTCTGTTGCATCAGGAAGGCCAACCTTTTTTTTCTTAATGCTGGACAGAGATTCAAACAATATCTAAAAGCGAGTTTTTAGTTCCCTCTGAGACACCCGGAGAATAAAATTCTCACAGAGCCACAGCCTAAAAAGGCTAAGCTGCTCTGTTGTATCAGGGAAGGCCAAACTGTTTCACTTAATGCTAGACGGGGATTCAAAAATATCTGAAAAGCGCATTTTTAGTTCCCTCTGAGACACCCGGAGAATAAAATTCTCACAGAACCACAGCCTAAAAAGGCTAAGCTGCTCTGTTGAATCAGGAAGGCCAAACGTTTTTTCTTAATGCTGGACAGAGAATAAACCAATATCTGAAAGCGTGCTTTTAGTTCCCTCTGAAACACCCGGAGAATAAAATTCTCACAGAGCCACAGCCTAAAAAGGGCTAAGCTGCTCTGTTGAATCAGGAAGGCCAAACCGTTTTACTTAATACTAGACGGAGATACAAA